AAATATTCTTTAATTAGGGATATCTGACGTTTCGGACCAAGCTCGGTCCGTCTTCAGAGTACAATGAGAAAGGCAAGTAATGTTTTCATGCGAGCCTGGTTGACCTGCATGATTAATGGTGCCGCGTTTGCTTTCTGGTTTTAAGTGGCCGCCTGATATATGCGATCTATGTGTTGCTGACGTCTGATGCTAAAGAATATTTTATGCGTTGTCTTCCCGTTTGTGACTTACCAAAGCATCGTATCATTTCCCGCATAAAGAAATCATGTACTTTATTCTATAATATATAACAGAGTTAAATACTGTATAATATAGAGTTATAATCGTAATCGATCAATGTGTGGTCTGAAATCATGCGAATATGTTTCAGCCTTGTTGCTAATCCAGATCATTTAGCAAGATATAATTTGGAAGTTCTAATTAGCAACTCATATACTGGTTGAGCTTCTGAAAACGGATGTGAATCTCGAAGCGTGACATGCCTTTTTTTGTAGATCACGTGCAAACAAATTATTCGATAAGCTTGGTGTGATAATCTTGTTCATAGGTTCCGTTCGTAGGTTTATTTGCATACTCTCGTTTTACTCAGATTTAGAAGTTATTTGATATAGTTCTTTTTATTAAGGCTAAAATGTAAGATTTTTCAGCTTAGTATTTAATAAATAAACTTTAAAATCACTGTAATAAACAAACACTCATAAACAATCAACTACCTTTAACTGTTAAACAATGCGATTAACTTAACATGCGGCAACTTACCGTCTTTTATAAACATTTTGTGCATAGCAGGGAAGCAAGCCGCTTGCCAGAACGAATAACAGCCGTCAACAAGTTTGTTGGTGCGTCCATTAAATCCACCTTCAAACCGCATTTGTCGATTTGCGAGCCACTTCTAAATGCAACGCCAAATTTAAAAAAAGAAGTTTCATAAGTCTAAAAAAATTAATTTAGTTAAAGATGGAAATAACATCAAAACGCAGTATATTACGCACAAAGTGGTCAATCAGAACATTGACCATTATCGACATTTCGACTCGTGTCTCATCTTCTTTCAACGCAGAGATGTAGGCAATTTGGAGGTCTTTTCAGTCGTCTGCGAGTCATGCTACAACTGCGACGACGAACCTTATTCGATCCTCGCATAGCCTGTATCCTTTGTACAGGTCGACTTTGTCGTATGAGTAAATGATTAGTGCCTCTTTGACGCACCTACTCAGTTACAGTCATTTTTGATGATCTCGGACCATCAGAGCATCTCTCCTTTCTGTGTCCCTTTTGCAAAATTCCTGAAATTCCTTCGTATTCTTTCTTGAGTTAGCAGAGGGCAAGGCTTTCTTTTTTTCCCGAGTGCTGCGTCAGCACATGCTATTTTTTCTCATTAGAATACAGCGTTTTGCCCAAGTAATTTTTCCGCAGCCACATGGTAATTTGCAAACCCAGCCCAGCGAAATAATATTCCCAGTGTTGTTTTACAAAATTAATATCTTATAAAAAGTGTAAAGTAATCTCTTTAATTTCTCACCAAGGGTTTTATCACAAGAGGAAGAACTAACTGTGGTCTTTTACATAAAATATTATTATTGACATCATTCGTGATACATGCTAGGTTAAAGCAAGTTATTCCACAGTTTATAATATCATTAACGAATTTAACTTGATAATTACTGCTCCTACAGCAGGTTAGTATGATATGATTATTTACTCTTTAAAGCACTGCAGAGCTTCAGAGCTCTGCAATATTAAAGTCGTTTAAGTAGCGGCTAATTTAAAGTTGTATTTCATCGTTAAAAAGTTCGTTACTAGGTTCAGGGCTCTATCAATTACACCTGCAATTAAAGACTTTTCATCATTTAAATAATTATGACCGAAAATTTAAATATTCACCAGTAGAGTTTGATGATAAATTTTAATCGAATAGTAAAAACCAAAGTTAATTATTAAGACATTATGAAAAGGTAGACTGGAATTATTTTTTTCTGTAAACAGCTGACTGAATATTTTGAGAGAAAATGCCACTGAGAAAAATATTAGCAGCACTTCAGTTTTCTCAATTATGGAGCAGACGGCAAAAATATCACCTACGTATCTTTTGCTAACTCTTGGAAACAGAAAACGCGTCGTTCTCCGGGTTAGATTTTCACACTGGTTCGATGAAAATTTCAGCAATGATGGAGGAAAACAGATTGTACTTGGGTGTCTGTCTTTTGGTCCGTTTCAAGAGCCTACCATGGAAAGATAATTTGCTTCTGGTATACAGAAATGAGAGAATTACATGACTCCTCCAAGACAAGATTTCAAGAAGTATTGCACCGTCTCCTTGATCCTAGTTACCTAGAGGGATCATCTAAGCAGGGCAACGAATCTACGGCATTTGAGCTCCTACAGTGCAGATGCATCTTGTATCATTTCGTCTGCTAGAGTCACATTGCGCTCATCACGAATGATCGCTCAGAAGCTAATACGCCCGAGTACATCAAACAACGAATGACTCCTCAAAGAGGATAGTTCAGTAAGTATTGAAATCTGGTCTTGGACGAGTTATTTACTGTACCGCGAATCTGACACCAGGGATAATGCAGCGCGCGAAACAGAATTGACACGCGCCCCAACTATCTGCTTGTACTGGCATCATCAATGAAAGACAATGGTCGAACAAGGAGATCACAGAGTCATTTATGATCAGTCATGAGACAGTGTCAACCAGGACTGGACTGAGGGACTGTGAACTGGGTGAGCGTCATCCCGTCTGTTGCTGCATAAATACTTAACGAGCAGCGCCAACCGACAGTTCGTCTTTCAGCTCCGCAATCATGATCAGCCGCAGGCATTCGAAACGGCTTTCGATATTTACCTACGTCTATATCGTGAAGAAGGCCCATGAGATATGGGCTAAAATATCTGAAACGCTCAATCTCACATTCAATGGAATTTCCGTGTTGATAGCAACGCACATCACATAAGCAAATAAACTTTGATTGATTGATCTTCTGACAGACTTTGGCGCTATTTGTAAGATAAATTAGCTTTACGCTATTCTTCCATATAAACATGTCAAAACCGCTGGCTGCCACCACGTCGCCTGATTTCAATTTTGCAGAGCTGACCATGAAAATCAAACGATGGTCAAATCGTGAAAATGTTCGATCATGTTTCCGTGATAAGGCATAATTATGTGCTAAGGACGCAGAATCAGTCGCTGCTTCCATCACCGTACAGGTCACAGAGCTTCAGGGGCACAGAGGAAGTCAGTTAAGAAACAGAAGTGTCTAGCGCAACAGAGTTCAAACATCGTTCCGTAACCAAAGACCGATGTCTGATCTCCAGAATATCACTGCGTGAGACCGAAACAAAATAATATGTATTACAGTTGCCGCAAAGCTGTAAATACTGCCTTCGAAACAGGCTGATTAAATATACAACGGGACATAACACACAATAAAGACTGAGATAACATACATTTAATACTGGAAAATTCAACCTTACTAGTAGCTGATGGGCATCAGTTGCAGAAAAGTGCGTTTTCACAAAAAATTATTTATCACTGCAAGCACTGCAGTGCGATTTCGAACGACGAATCACCTCTGCTTCTACTAACCTTGGCATCTTTACTTCATTATTTCTTAGAGTTAATGGTCTTAGTGCTCAAATTTTTAAAGACATTTATGCATAATACAGATATCATTTTTCTCCTAAATAAAAAAACGATAATTACATTATATTAACAGGCAACGGAACAGTCGTAGATGGTCGGCTTTGAACTGCAGAGGTACGGAGTTCGAATAGCGAAAGAGGTAACAATTTTTTCTACCACAAATTCCTAATTCATTTGAGCAGGAACTCACCGATGTAACCACCATAGAGTCGTTGACATGTGAACAACTGCGACAGCATTATTTTCTGGTATGATCATCTTAGAGTGAGCAACAGGTTCAGCCATACTACGTGA